GCCACTAAAAGTGCTAAAAAGTGACATTTTTCAATTTTTGCCCATTTTATTCAAACGCGAATATCTCGTAAACTAAAAGAGATAATTAAGATCTGATCGCAGCGTCTTAATGTACGGACCAATCTCTATCAGATACAATAGTTAAAAGGGAAATCTGAGAGATGAAATTTTCATTCTTAAGAAAAAATTGCCAAGGGGGGGTGCTTGATACTTTTTTTCGACGATTTTTGAAAATTCATATCTCTTAAACTAAAAGCCACAGCAACCAACAAATTGCTGATTATGATAGATTGAAAAATTCTGTATCAGATAAAAATATAAAATAATTATATTTCCTACAGTAAAAGGTCAAAAAACGCCACTAAAAGTGCTAAAAAGTGACATTTTTCAATTTTTGCCCATTTTATTCAAACGCGAATATCTCGTAAACTAAAAGAGATAATTAAGATCTGATCGCAGCGTCTTAATGTACGGACCAATCTCTATCAGATACAATAGTTAAAAGGGAAATCTGAGAGATGAAATTTTCATTCTTAAGAAAAAATTGCCAAGGGGGGGTGCTTGATACTTTTTTTCGACGATTTTTGAAAATTCATATCTCTTAAACTAAAAGCCACAGCAACCAACAAATTGCTGATTATGATAGATTGAAAAATTCTGTATCAGATAAAAATATAAAATAATTATATTTCCTACAGTAAAAGGTCAAAAAACGCCACTAAAAGTGCTAAAAAGTGACATTTTTCAATTTTTGCCCATTTTATTCAAACGCGAATATCTCGTAAACTAAAAGAGATAATTAAGATCTGATCGCAGCGTCTTAATGTACGGACCAATCTCTATCAGATACAATAGTTAAAAGGGAAATCTGAGAGATGAAATTTTCATTCTTAAGAAAAAATTGCCAAGGGGGGGTGCTTGATACTTTTTTTCGACGATTTTTGAAAATTCATATCTCTTAAACTAAAAGCCACAGCAACCAACAAATTGCTGATTATGATAGATTGAAAAATTCTGTATCAGATAAAAATATAAAATAATTATATTTCCTACAGTAAAAGGTCAAAAAACGCCACTAAAAGTGCTAAAAAGTGACATTTTTCAATTTTTGCCCATTTTATTCAAACGCGAATATCTCGTAAACTAAAAGAGATAATTAAGATCTGATCGCAGCGTCTTAATGTACGGACCAATCTCTATCAGATACAATAGTTAAAAGGAAATCTGAGAGATGAAATTTTCATTCTTAAGAAAAAATTGCCAAGGGGGGGTGCTTGATACTTTTTTTCGACGATTTTTGAAAATTCATATCTCTTAAACTAAAAGCCACAGCAACCAACAAATTGCTGATTATGATAGATTGAAAAATTCTGTATCAGATAAAAATATAAAATAATTATATTTCCTACAGTAAAAGGTCAAAAAACGCCACTAAAAGTGCTAAAAAGTGACATTTTTCAATTTTTGCCCATTTTATTCAAACGCGAATATCTCGTAAACTAAAAGAGATAATTAAGATCTGATCGCAGCGTCTTAATGTACGGACCAATCTCTATCAGATACAATAGTTAAAAGGGAAATCTGAGAGATGAAATTTTCATTCTTAAGAAAAAATTGCCAAGGGGGGGTGCTTGATACTTTTTTTCGACGATTTTTGAAAATTCATATCTCTTAAACTAAAAGCCACAGCAACCAACAAATTGCTGATTATGATAGATTGAAAAATTCTGTATCAGATAAAAATATAAAATAATTATATTTCCTACAGTAAAAGGTCAAAAAACGCCACTAAAAGTGCTAAAAAGTGACATTTTTCAATTTTTGCCCATTTTATTCAAACGCGAATATCTCGTAAACTAAAAGAGATAATTAAGATCTGATCGCAGCGTCTTAATGTACGGACCAATCTCTATCAGATACAATAGTTAAAAGGAAATCTGAGAGATGAAATTTTCATTCTTAAGAAAAAATTGCCAAGGGGGGGTGCTTGATACTTTTTTTCGACGATTTTTGAAAATTCATATCTCTTAAACTAAAAGCCACAGCAACCAACAAATTGCTGATTATGATAGATTGAAAAATTCTGTATCAGATAAAAATATAAAATAATTATATTTCCTACAGTAAAAGGTCAAAAAACGCCACTAAAAGTGCTAAAAAGTGACATTTTTCAATTTTTGCCCATTTTATTCAAACGCGAATATCTCGTAAACTAAAAGAGATAATTAAGATCTGATCGCAGCGTCTTAATGTACGGACCAATCTCTATCAGATACAATAGTTAAAAGGGAAATCTGAGAGATGAAATTTTCATTCTTAAGAAAAATTGCCAAGGGGGTGCTTGATACTTTTTTTCGACGATTTTTGAAAATTCATATCTCTTAAACTAAAAGCCACAGCAACCAACAAATTGCTGATTATGATAGATTGAAAAATTCTGTATCAGATAAAAATATAAAATAATTATATTTCCTACAGTAAAAGGTCAAAAAACGCCACTAAAAGTGCTAAAAAGTGACATTTTTCAATTTTTGCCCATTTTATTCAAACGCGAATATCTCGTAAACTAAAAGAGATAATTAAGATCTGATCGCAGCGTCTTAATGTACGGACCAATCTCTATCAGATACAATAGTTAAAAGGAAATCTGAGAGATGAAATTTTCATTCTTAAGAAAAAATTGCCAAGGGGGTGCTTGATACTTTTTTTCGACGATTTTTGAAAATTCATATCTCTTAAACTAAAAGCCACAGCAACCAACAAATTGCTGATTATGATAGATTGAAAATTCTGTATCAGATAAAAATATAAAATAATTATATTTCCTACAGTAAAAGGTCAAAAAACGCCACTAAAAGTGCTAAAAAGTGACATTTTTCAATTTTTGCCCATTTTATTCAAACGCGAATATCTCGTAAACTAAAAGAGATAATTAAGATCTGATCGCAGCGTCTTAATGTACGGACCAATCTCTATCAGATACAATAGTTAAAAGGGAAATCTGAGAGATGAAATTTTCATTCTTAAGAAAAAATTGCCAAGGGGGGGTGCTTGATACTTTTTTTCGACGATTTTTGAAAATTCATATCTCTTAAACTAAAAGCCACAGCAACCAACAAATTGCTGATTATGATAGATTGAAAAATTCTGTATCAGATAAAAATATAAAATAATTATATTTCCTACAGTAAAAGGTCAAAAAACGCCACTAAAAGTGCTAAAAAGTGACATTTTTCAATTTTTGCCCATTTTATTCAAACGCGAATATCTCGTAAACTAAAAGAGATAATTAAGATCTGATCGCAGCGTCTTAATGTACGGACCAATCTCTATCAGATACAATAGTTAAAGGGAAATCTGAGAGATGAAATTTTCATTCTTAAGAAAAAATTGCCAAGGGGGGGTGCTTGATACTTTTTTTCGACGATTTTTGAAAATTCATATCTCTTAAACTAAAAGCCACAGCAACCAACAAATTGCTGATTATGATAGATTGAAAAATTCTGTATCAGATAAAAATATAAAATAATTATATTTCCTACAGTAAAAGGTCAAAAAACGCCACTAAAAGTGCTAAAAAGTGACATTTTTCAATTTTTGCCCATTTTATTCAAACGCGAATATCTCGTAAACTAAAAGAGATAATTAAGATCTGATCGCAGCGTCTTAATGTACGGACCAATCTCTATCAGATACAATAGTTAAAAGGAAATCTGAGAGATGAAATTTTCATTCTTAAGAAAAAATTGCCAAGGGGGTGCTTGATACTTTTTGAAATGGATTTTGAAAATTCATATCACTTAAACTAAAAGCCACAGCAACCAACAAATTGCTGATTATGATAGATTGAAAAATTCTGTATCAGATAAGAATATAAAATAATTATATTTCCTACAGTAAAAGGTCAAAACACGCCACTAAAAGTGTTAAAAGTGACATTTTTCAATTTTTGCCCATTTTATTCAAACGCGAATATCTCGTAAGCTAAAAGAGATAATTAAGATCTGATCGCAGCGTCTTAATGTACGGTCCAATCTCTATCAGATACAATAGTTAAAAGGGAAATCTGAGAGATGAAATTTTCATTCTTAAGAAAAATGGCAAAGGGGGTGCTTGATACTTTTTTCGACGATTTTTGAAAATTCATATCTCTTAAACTAAAAGCCACAGCAACCAACAAATTGCTGATTATGATAGATTGAAAAATTCTGTATCAGATAAAAATATAAAATAATTATATTTACTACAGTAAAAGGTCAAAAAACGCCACTAAAAGTGCTAAAAAGTGACATTTTTCAATTTTTGCCCATTTTATTCAAACGCGAATATCTCGTAAACTAAAAGAGATAATTAAGATCTGATCGAAGCGTCTTAATGTACGGACCAATCTCTATCAGATACAATAGTTAAAACGGAAATCTGAGAGATGAAATTTTCATTCTTAAGAAAAAATTGCCAAGGGGGGGTGCTTGATACTTTTTTTCGACGATTTTCAATAATTAATATCTCTTAAAGCTATAGCAACCAACGAATTGCTGATTATTAAAGATTAGAAAATTCTCTATCAGATAAAAACATACAATAATTAAAATATGTGGGGAAAAATGTCTAAAAACGTGGTTAAAAGTGCTAAAAAGTGACATTCTTAAATTTTTGCCCATTTTATTCAATCGCGAATATCTCGTAAACTAAAAGAGATAATTAAGATCGCATCGCAGCGTCTTAATCTACGAACTATTCTCTATAAGATACGGTAGTGAAAAGGTAAATCTGAGATATGAAATTTTAATGCATAAGAAAAAATTGCCAAGGGAGGTGCTTGATAACTTTTTTCTACTATTTTAGATAGTGAAAACAATGGTTTCTCGCAATATGATCCGGTATCCATATTACAGTAGGTGAAATATACACGCCTCCTCCTAATGCGCGGGCTATTGCAACATGCAGGTGAAAGGATTTAAATCATTTAATCGAATAATGTAATTTAATTATAAACTTACTAATGCAGCGCTCATCGGATTGCGATGGTACGGCAAGTTCTGTAATTAAAAGAAAACAACGTCGTGAAATCCTTTTATTTTACGATAATTATGGAGTTTCGCCATGTATGTGCCTAAACAATTCAATACATAAGTTAAAACAAAAACATTACATACAATGGAGAACAAACTTTCTGTGCTGAGTATCGCAATGGTCAGATAAAAGTTACTTGCTTGAGTATATGTTTCCAGTTGTTCTAGCCCGGTAATTACAACTGAGTTGTAACCAAATATAATGCAAATTTTGAGAATAGAAGTTCGATAAAACGATACGCGATGCGCGAAATACATCTGGATACGCCAGAGACCGGCATGGATTACTGGTTGTAATCCATCGATAGCGTTTACCGAAACTGCACATGCAACGATGCGACAGTTCGCGAATACCTGTTGCGCGAACCACGCAGGTAAAAGCAATAGATGCGCAAAGCCGGCGCGTCGATGCCCCACGACCTTGTGCACGGATTGCAATAGGCTCGACACTTGTGATCTAAACTAAACTCGAATATGCGTCATGCGGCGTGCGAATGCTACGACTTGGCAATCTCATGAGTTGCATTCCGCGCGGCGAATGCGATAAGAAGGCGTAAATTGTGTTCAAAACAAACACAATTCTCGTGCCGAATGCCCACGTTTGCTGATAAATATAGAAATAAACAATACAATTCTATTCAATGATTTTTAGTTCATGCTAGTGCCATCTCTGAATGAAATAGATAGTAGTAAAAATTAAAATCCGAATTATGTTATTCAGATTTCTTATGCCGAAAAATTGCCAGATTATACATCTATTATTTTAGTAATATTTTATTCGATAGAACAAAACATATTGAAGATTCCTAAATCGAAAAAGTATTTGCACATTTGGTCACATTGAGAGAACAACAACATCCGCAATAAAAAATTAAATTTTCATATTTAAGTTTTCACCAAAAAATGTAAATCACGTTTGGTTCAATTGTGAGGAAACTATAATTATAGAAATGATAATATTTACCATATTCTGCGATTGAGGAAAAATATTCGCTACCGCAAGAATTTATTAGTGATGTTCATAACGCACTCACTTTTTTGAATAGGTACACTAAATTCGGAAAATTTAGATTTACGACGATTATACACGGGATAAATTACTATTAAAATACCGAACACGGCTAAAACCACTAATTATCACTGGTTATCAACCAAATATAAAGCGATAAAGGACAATAAACGCACAAGCAATAACAAACATTACTATAGTCGCAAGTTAAAAAATAAATAGTCGACTGCTGACCGAATATAATGCAAATTTAGAATGCAGAAGATCGAACAAACAATGCGAGTCGCGAGAAATACGTCAGGATCAATCAGAGACCGACGCGAAACTGGCCACTATTCGCGGCTAGTGCAAGCCGTAGCCGAGCAGGCAACGACGCGATAGTTACTGATAAGAAAGCAAGAGGTGCGCAAAGCCGGCGCGTCGATGGCATACGACCTTGTGTACGAATTGCAAGAGATGCGCAAAGCCGGCAGCGCGTCGGTTGCACGCGAACTGATGCGGCAACGTGCGACGTGAGAAGAAGGCAACAACGAAATACCGGAATGCGATAAGAAAGTGTATATTGTGTTCAAAACAAACACAATTCTCATGCCGAATGCCCACGTTTGCCGATAAAAATATAAATAAACAATACAATTATATTTTATGATTTTTAGTTCATGCTAGTGCCATCTCTGAATGATACAAGTATGAGATCCGGACTTTTGATTATTAAAATTAATTAAACGTCCAGGACGAATCTCGTCGATTCTCAAATGATGATGATTGCATAAATTGCATAATTGCAGAAATCTTAGTCAAAGTACCTAAGTTTTTATTACGCATAACGTCTTTGATAAAGATGTTTCATATTTACAGAATTCACTGTTGCACAAAATGCAAAATGTGATTGATTCAAGTGAGACTTTATTGAATACCTATCTACTTTAACATAAAATGTGTTTGGTTTAAATTAATTGTCATTAAAAATTGATTTAATATTAAATTAATTATAAAAGACAATAAATTAATTGCAATATCACCTCAGTTTATTTTCATATAGTTTATCACCTTCAATTTTGATATATAAAGATCCCAGCATCCACAAACAATTTACTCATAAATATAATCCAACACAATGAAGATTATCACTGTTATATTGGTAGCTTGCGGTAAGTAAAACACTAAATACACAGTCTTTGGATAGTTTCAATTATTAACTGTGTTTTTAAAATTTGATTGCATGTTTTAAAATATTTCAGTTGTCATGATGCACGCGGATTTAACATACGCTCAATGTGGTGGACCCTGTCCAGTACCTAATTCTCCTGTCTGTGCTGAGAACGCTCAGGGCGAATTTCGTAGATTTCCAAATCAATGCGATTTAAATACTCATAACTGCGAAAATCCTAAGGAACGTAAGTTTTTATTATACAAAGCTTGTTTAATACATGTTTAATTTTTCTATTTTACAGTATTCTTGATCACATCGACCGCAAACTGTGATTAACTCAAATATGTTTGATAACAACAAAGGACTTATTTAGATGTTACCTAATACATAATTGAATAAAACGTGTTTGTTTTAAATTAACTGTTATCCAAAATTAATTATAGTGACAAAAACAACTGCAGAACTAGTTAATAAGTACGAGTATTACTTACTCCAAATTTAAAAATAAAAACACGTTTGCACATGAATTTGCCTAATTAAATATTATTGCGATACAATTAGAAGACATTACCAAAACTTTTTTTTTTTTAATTTGACATAAGGGATGATTTACTTGTATAGCCATGCGCGAGATTTTTTATTTTTTTTGTTTTTAGATTGATTAATGCAAATGTTTTATCTGTTGTCACTGTAACGCACAAAACACAAATTGTACTGCGTAGAATTGTACTATCATAATAAATATGTGCTAACAAACTCACAATAACATCTAATTTTAGTGTGCTTGTAAATACAGAGTCAAATATAAAAAAAAAATATGAGCACCTATTAATTCTGCGCATGTGCAAGTTCAAATTTACTGGAACCAGAAACAATGGAGTAATAATTTAAAATTTGTTATCCGATTACATATCCAATCATAATAAATATCATAATTTTACTAGTAAAATACTTTTATTTTGCGTAAGTTTTAATTAAAATTCAATGACACCTGTATATCATCCATTTTTAACAAAGGGCAATAAGTTAATTGTTTCTTTGAGTTTATTTCCGTGTAGTTTATCACCTTCATTTTTTGATATATAAAGGTCCCAGCATCCACAAACAATTTACTCATACTCGTAAATAAACTCAATCAAAATGAAGCTTATCACTGTAGTATTGATCGCTTGCGGTAGGTAAAACATAAAATAAAAACATAGTCGCTGGGTAGTAACAATTATTAATTGATTTTTTAAAATTAAATTTCATATTTTAAAATTTTGCAGTTGTCCTGACGCAAGCGGATGTATCCTACGCACAATGTAATGGATACTGTTCAATGATACTTAAACCAGTCTGTGGTCAGAACGCTTGGGGTGAAATACGTTCATTCGGAAGTGAATGCGTATTAGACATGCATAACTGCCAATATCCTCATAACAGTAAGTTTTTATTATTCAAAGCATGGTTAATACATATTAAATGTTTCGATTTTACAGAATTCCTCCTTAACCCGGCCGTCATATGTTGAGAAATCAAATATGTTCGATAACAACTTGACAATGGACTTGTTTAGGTATTATCTAGTATCAACTTACATTAGCATAAAACTTGTTTGCTTTAAATTTACTGTTATCAAAAATTAATTATATAAACAACAATAACAACCGATTTTGAAACTGGTTAATGGGAGATACTTATTAACATCATAATTTAATTACTTTAAAATGAGAATAAACAACTACTATTAAATGTTGTTAACTGCTTGTTATTTATGATAATGGTTACCTAATCGTTTGCATAGTTATATAAAGACAAAAATATTCCAAAGTGTCATTTAGTGTCATTGGAAAAGAGGAACGATGAGGTCACTGTCATTACTTTTCGCCTTAGGTATGATATAACTTAAATTGTATGAAATTATTTATTAATTAATTAATTTAATTATATATTTTTATAGTTTTATTTGCAGCAATGCTGAGTTTTGGTGCAGCAGTGTGTCCCACTGCTTGCACTCAACAGTATGATCCAATTTGTGGCCAAAATGACGCTGGGGAGAAGAGATTGTACCGCAATCCATGTTTGATGGCAATGGAGAACTGTCCCATGCCTATGAGCAGAAGTAAGTATATTTTAATTTAATTTTTATAAATTTACTAAATTATAAAATTTATTCTTTTAGAATTCGTGCCATTTAAAAAAGGAAGATGTTAATTCAAACCAACAAAAAAACTACCAATTAACTTGATTGTATTTTATAATAACTCCATGAAGTTATTACTCAAAAAATTGTAATTTTGAGCAAAATTATTTAGAAAAATAAACTGGTTTTACCAATATACCTACCTATGATTAGATAGCAACATATTACAAGTATGCATAAGCAGACAGTTTTATGCGAAAAAAATAAATACATGTCGATAGATATTGTTCAAAATTGTATTTGCAACGTTTAATAATTTTGACGCTTGTGAAAATATGATAAGCAAATTACCAACGTATTGCAAGACACGCCATACCGTTTATCACTTCTATTTTAGTTCAGTTTTTGGGGTAGGCAATTTGTATTCGCATTAGAATAACCTTCATCAAAGGTAAAAAACACTTATCGGTTAACACCTCCACGCCGTTAGCTTATAAAAGCCTGTGTTACACCAAAGCGAATTAGTCAAGTGTAACATTCACTCGCAATTACACACGGCGCAAGTTGTATCAGTTCCTATAACTGAGAAATTCCTCAAATATTTACCATGAAGACTGCTATTGCATTTATGTTCTTAGGTAAGCCAAGAAAAATATAGAATAATCATTTTTCTTAATTATTTATTTATTATTTTTTGCTATAATTTTAAATTAAATTTAAAAAAAGTAAAAATTAAATCCTAAAATGGAATCTGAACTAAATGAGAACGTAAACTAAACAAAAATTAAAAATTACTTCTTTTATTGACAGTTTTTATTGCTCTTATTAATAATGGAAGCACCCGGTGTGATTTTGGATGTGTTCACATAAAAGGCCCTGTTTGTGCAATTGATGTCGATGGTTCTTATCAATATTTTGCCAATGACTGCAAAATGAGTTTGGCGAACTGCAAAAATCATACCAAAGGTATCACTTGAAATAAACTTGAAATTTGTACTTAAATTTAATGCCTTTTATTGTTTGCAGGTTATAAAAAAGTAGATGATTTGGACTTGTGCTCAGACGACTAACATTAACTCTTCATTTAATCCTTAATATTAATTAGTTGTGATATTACGACAGGCGAACGCTTGCACCGCCGGGGCATTCGCCCTGGGAAAGAATTTTGAATTCTAAAACAAAAATATTCACATTTTAATTTAAGAAAAAAACTTCTTCATATTTACAATGTGTAAAGAAAATCGACTTACGCTTGTCCTGCTCACAATTGTAATTAGTCAGGACGCATTCGTTGCCGAAAGTGATGGGCTTGGCAACATCATCACCTCCGCAAACGGGGATGTATGACTCCGGGCAGGGTTTCAAGCATGGTTTGGCTTTCAACGCGGCTTTCGTGGAGCCCTTTGCTGGCGACGCCGATGCGAATGCCAGCAAGCCAACTAAAAGTAATAAAAATTGTTTGTTTTGTACGATATTATTGAAATTATTGTCGGAAAATGTTCCTAATCGGTTTAGTTCACACGTGACATCATAAACTTTATATTATTCATAAGTACTTGTTGTTATCTATTGTTAAACCAAATAAAAGCAATTTGACGTTTGTATATTTATGAGGAGTATTAATTTGCAACGGCACGTTAATTCCGCATTTGCGTCAATCGCAATTCTAGCATGTTTAAACACTGAACACAACATACTTGCGCAAATCAATAGAATACTCTTCATTGTTGGCGAAAATATAACACAAACACAGCAGAAAGAATGGAACTAAAGTGTATCGACAGAGGTCGGTTATATAAACCGAAATCCCCACCTGATGGTGACCGCTAGTTAAAGTCCCTGCTCATCTCGTGTAATTACTGAATTGTGTTGTCATTATATGTCGCTGAGTGAAGCACATAAATCCACATTTAGTTGATTATGACTGCGCGATTCGCCGAAGGAAGTTGTGTAAACACGAACACGAATGTTTGTAAATCATAATGGCGTCTATTATTTAGTACCGGTTGAAGCATCAAGTGTCAATTACTGAATAGCATCAAATATTTTTAAAGATATTTTTAAAATTAGCAAGTATTTGCTTTATGCGCGAATAATTTTTCGGTCAAGTAATTTATGACATGGGAAAAACGTTATATTCAATGTCATTGAACATTTAATAAAGGCAGTCACGAAGATTTTATTATAAAAAGTAGAATTAATGTTTTGCTGATGAAAAAATATAGTTATTATTGAATATATAAACTTTACATTAAATATTTTTAGGTTTATTTATTAGTTGAGCTTTTATCCAATAAATAAGTGCATTCTATGTTCAATTATTCAATTTCTTTCAACGTGTGTCTGTTGCAACCGAGCAAGGTCATTGGCAATTTGAATTTGCGCGTGTTAAACTTGAATTAAACATTTCCACTCTACTACTTTCTGCACAGCGCAATTACATTTATTAACGCAAAATTTTAAAAATTGGTTAAGGTCGCTTTAATAAAATTGGCATTCACTGTCTCCGCACCAGATGTCAACCAGCGATTACTTACCTGTTTAATTACATTAAGTATTGCCAACTTTGTTTATTTGCACGCTAATGACATTATTTACATCTACCAAGTGGATTTTACCTCCAGTGGTCACTTCAACGGTGATCTAAGATAAACATACTTGACGGTCAACTCGCGTGCGCATTTCAATTTTTACGAGTATTAGCAGGCGTGTTAAACGTTTAAGCATTTAGTGCCAGTCGATACATCACTTTGGTCAGTGAGTAGTTGATCGTCGGGATGTATTCGCAGTTGTTTCTATTAGTCTCTCTCGTGGTGAGCGCTTCTTGCGCTGGGTTGAATGAAGAATTTACTTGGACACGGATTAATTATGTATGGCCTACACCATCCAGATCTGGTTTTGGCAGAGGATACAAACCTTATGTGCCTACAACGTATGGCAGTTATGGTCAGGGTGGTGTTGTCATTCATGGGACGGATTTTGCATTTCCTGGTAATGTAAATACCGAACATAGTCAGAATATGAAAACTACTACATCTACTACAACAGCTAGTCCTTCAAGTGGAGATAAAGAGGATTTTAAGGATGTTGATTACGTTTATCGTAAGTAATTTCTTTTAAAAATTAAAATATTATAAATTTATACTTGGATTTTTCTCTTGACTGTGCCCGCTTAGTTTTGAATAAAAAAATAGGCACTTATAAATTTATTTCGGACATTTTTTTTCTATTCTCGAAAGAAAAATTGTTGTTTTCTATAATAAAGAAGTGTTCTAGGTTCTTTGCAATATTATATTGTATTTACTATTGACACAAGTCAACTTTTATTTTTAAAACAAAAGTATTAAATGTGGTTACATCGTTTGAATATTATAATGTTTATCAGTGTTAGATGCAAATAGGTTAATACTGATTAGTAAAAAAGGGAACAAGTTATCAAAGTTTTATTGCTAACGTTTTTTACTTATCAACAAGTATTATATCATACGTCAATTAATTTGCACTTCGATACTAATTTATGACTATTTTTTCATTTTAAAAACTATGATTTTTTAACACTTCTACGAATATTATTTTATATTGAGATGTTAATCACCGTTCTGGTAAACCAATAATAACAATAAAAAAAACAAGTATTTGAGTATTACACAACATACATGTAATTATTGTCTGCTTGCGGCGACCATGAGTAAAGATGTTTAGATAAAAATAATGTTATAAATCAGAAATATTACAAAATCAACTAGTTTCTGATATTACAAAGTAAATATGTTATTAATATTTATAGAAAACAACATTCCAATGGGTGCAAACCGTTGGCAGGATAAATTATTCATAACGGTGCCAAGACGCAGGGGTGGTGTGCCAGCAACCCTCAATTATGTCTCAATGAGTAGTACCAGTAGACATAACGTACCATTAACCCCGTATCCAAACTGGAAGGCGAATCAACTAGATGCACCCGCACATGAGAGATTGGTTTCTATCTATCGAGTTGCAATTGATGCTTGTGATAGATTATGGGCAATAGATACAGGCATAATTGAAATTCCAGGTAATACATAACTACTATAACTATAAATATATTATAACAATATTAAAATTCAATTTGTTTAGGCAATCGCACTGATATTCAACCACATTCAATTGTAATTTACGACTTAAAAACCGACAAATTAATCCACCGTTACACATTGAAAGATTCCGACCTTCGTCCACCCACGATTTTGGCGTTGATTACTGTTGATGTGACTGCTGATACCTGCGACAATGCGTATGCCTACATGCCTGATTTAGCAGGATATGGCTTGATTATTTATAGTCTCAAAGATAATAACTCCTGGAGAGTAAATCACAACTATTTCTACCTGGAACCCTCAGCAGGAGAATTTAATATTGGCGGTCAAAAATTCCAATGGAATGATGGAGTCTTCAGTGTTGCGTTATCTGGGATTAAACAAGATGGCTATCGGGATATGTTCTTTCATTCTATGGCTGGCGTTCACATGTACAAAGTGTCTACGGACGTTTTGAAAAATCAAACGAGGGCTACACGTTCATATCATGAGAATGACTTTATTGTAATGTTCCGTAATTTTAATATAAACTTAAATTAATTGGTTTTTATTTGTAGGACTTGGGACATCGTGGGGATCTTGCTCAAACGTCAGCAACTGATTTGCATAAACCAACCGGAGTGCTTTTTATGAGTTTGGTCAATCAGAATGCTCTTGGATGCTGGAATACAAACAAAGCGTTTACTCCCGATAACTTTGACATTGTTCAGAAAAATGATCAGAAAATGATTTATCCATGTGACTTAAAAGTCTACAAAGACGATGTGATTTTGTTGACGAATAACATGCCAATATTTTTATACAGTAGCTTGAATTATGATGAAGTTAATTTCCGAATTTGGATGAATTCAGTTGACGCAGCTGTCAGTTCAACGAAATGTAGTGCACGGCGAGGTGGAAGGCCTTCTTACGGAAAATATTAATAAATTAATGTATATTGCAGAACAAACAATAAAGAGAAATTGATTTTTTAATAAATAGAGTATTTTTACAAAGTTATAAAATGTTGGTTGTTTACGCAGCGAAAAAGAGAGAGAGAGAGAGAATGATTTCATGATCAAGGTTGTTTACTTGAAATACTTATCTCCATAAAAGTTTAAAGTGGAATTTCAACATGTATGAATAACTTGCTTATTCTCATTTTGATGCATGTCGCGCCATCTGTAGAACATTTATTTTACTAACGTTAATCACTGGCCTGCTGTTGTTAAATAAAATTTAATTCATATTATCCTCAAGATAATAATTAACCACTTCCACATAGCGAGTTGTTTTATTAAGATAAAAAATATTTATAAAAATAAATTCATTCCTCACACTGAGATATATTTTTGTACATCTCTCGTTTGACACATGATAGTTCAGTTCATCAAATGTAAACAAACTTTAAAGTTAAGTTCGATTTGTGCTACACAGCAAGATTTAGGTATTACAACAAGGTACGAGTATCATCGAAGTCCAGTAACACCTACGCAACGCAAAAAACCTATGAAGTGTACTACGGAAAATACGTACATGTTTGCACTTTAACATCGCGTCAAAGTCCTAACCTGCAACGATGAATACAAGGAAAAGGAGTGGTTCCTGGTCGAAAAAGCAGCTAAAGGGCAAAGTGGTGCAAATATACGAATCGTTACTAAAGGGAGAGGAATTGGCCAAGAATAACCCAACGTTTTGGGATGAATTGTTCCTGATCAAGCCGAAATTATGGCACCTGGAAACAGAACTAACACGATTAACACCAGAGCAGCTTACAATTGCCAAAGAAAACATCAATGCTTTATTCATTCAGTGCATTGAATCACTCAGCCATGAGAAGCACATCAGGATTGTGATTGCCATGCAGACACTATGTGTATTGGTACACTCCATCTATAAGAAAACTAGCAGTGAGCCAGGGTTTGATGTAATCAGCTTGTTGATGGGAGTTCAAAATGCAGAGGAAAAGATGCAGAAACTACTTAATCATTGTCAATTCTTTTTGGCTGGTAATTAATAACAATGATAAAATCATCAGATTTTAATATTTGAATCTACTCTTTTTTATTCTAGGTGAATATCCTGACAGTCTAAAAGGTCTCTGCCTAAAACTACTCTTGGTATTTGTCACTGGTACTGAGAATGTTAACCAAAATACTCTCATTGAGTACATCATGATGGCACCTTTGTTTGAAAGTTTAATTCAGTTGCTCTGCGAAGCTACACAGAGACAAACTCATGGTCATGATGTTGTCCTCTTATTAACCTTACTTGTGAATTACAGAAAACATGAGTCTGCAAATCCATACATTGTCAAATTGTCAATTATTGATGACGAATTAGCACTGAATGGTTATGGGCAAGTGATCACTGCATCACTGACAGAATTCTGTAAACAGTTTGTTAATCAACAAGCTGAGACACAAAATTCTTCCTGGTTGTCAACTCTGTCGACGTTTACAACTCGCGTAGGTAGTATGTTTATTTCTGAAGAGGAAGGCATGCGAAATCAGAAGATCAAGGCAAATAATGCTTTATTACTTGCGTTGTACGAAGCGATTCATTTAAATCGTAACTTTATAACGACGTTGGCCCAAATGCAGACTGATACAAGTTCGCCGCCATCGCCGAGCAATACTTTGAATTCAGGGCCAACGCCTGATTTGTCTAGCGTGCCTGTTATTGATGTAAATGCGCAACCATCGAATTTATTGGTCACGTTCTTCCAGTATTGGTAAGTTATCAAAATGTCAAAGGTTTTAAATAGGTAAAA